ATATATATATATATATATGCCTGGCTGGCTTAGATTTTACTGTGTAGCCCAGGCTATCCTTGTCTTGTCTACAATCCTGAAACTGCTTTTTGAGTTCTGAGATTACAGGTGTATACTACTATACCCAGTTCCCCTCTTGCCTGCCTGCCTTCCCTCCTTCTTTCCCTCCCTTCCTCCCTCCCTTTCTTTCTTTCCTTCCTTTGACAGTCTTATATATCTTAACTGGCCTTGAATATATGATATAGTGAACATTAATCTTGAACTCCTGATTCATGGGTCATTGGGTTACTGGCATATATTATCATCATGCCTGATTTCTTTAAAAAAATTAATATTGTGTGTGTACGTGTATGTGTGTACATGTATACCTAAAAGGACATATTTTAGGAGTCAATTCTCTCTTTCTACTCTAGGTTTTTAGGCTAGAACTCAGGTCGTCAGGCCTGTGTCTGAAAGCACTTCTACCTTCTAACTATCTTGCCCTCCCTTTTAATTTCTTAGTGATAAATTATGTTCCATTTTACAAGGATTAATTATAGAAGCTAATTGAAAAGTTATAAAGGAGTTCCTGTGTCATTGCAGCCTGTTTACACCCTATTATCAGACTCAGGAAGCAGTCTGAAACTTGATTCTGAATAGGTTATAAGTGATATGAGTGGACCCTCTTTTGCACATGAACTTGTCACTTTAATGTTTAGTTTGATTATCCAGATACAGTGGAGTAAAAGCGTTCAAGAGGGAACTGAATTGAGGCAGCAGGTATGGATGCTTATATCTCAAGCAACTCTGTTTTAGGAGAAATACCAGAAGTGCTCAACATTTGTTTTAAAAATTCACTTTTACTATCTGGGTGATGGTGGTCCATGCCTTTAATTTCAGCACTCAGGAGGCAGAGGCAGAGGCAGAGGCAGGTGGATCTCTGAGAGTTCCAGGCCAGGGCTACACAGAGAAACTCTCTCAAAAAAGGAGTTTTTAAAATTGTGTGTGCTTGAGAGAGAAAGAAAGAGAGGTGGGTGGAAGTGAATCTTGTGCTGTGTAGCCTGGATTAGTCTGGAACTCACTATGTAGCCCAGGGTGGCCGTGAATCTTCCTGTCTCAACCTCCCAGTGCTGATGCATTAATATACTCAGTCTAAAAATTCACTTTTTGGTGGTGGTTTGGACTTGAGAACATCTTCTCTAAGAGAAATGTGTATTTTATTTTTATTTTTGAAGATAATTTTGATATGCAGCACAAGTTAGCTTTGACCTCATGGTGATTCTCCTAGTTCAACTTCCCAAGTACTGGGATTCCCGGTGAGCACCACCACTCCTGATTCCCAAACACACTTAAACACACATGTGTGCATGGACACATGCATATTTAGAAAATGTTTTTAAGATTTTTAACATATCCAACTTAAAAATATTTGAATAACTGTTCTTTTGAGAAAGAGTCTTGAATCCTTGGTGATATGCTTATATCAACTCTCAAATATTTGATCACAGGCATGAGCTACCATGCATGGCTGTGACTTTTTGTTCTGTTTTGAATCAGGGCCTCTTTTACTTACTTGTGGTTGTCCTGGACCTCATATAGGAACCAGGCTTACCTCACAGGTATCTTCCTGCCTCTGCCTCCCAACTGCTGGGATTAAAGTCTAAGGATGCATTTTTAAATATGCTTGACTAAGCTTGACTATCTTAGTTTGCATGATTACAGGTCTCAGTAGAAAAAAAGGCAGCAGATATTAATAATGAATGTAATAGGTCCAATAAATGCATTTAAAGACACTGTAATGTAGATTGAAACAATAAGGAACAAGAGGAACCTACTTAAGAAATAACTACAAGAGTGAAAAACAGTATATCTTATTCAACTCTTAAAGAAAGGCACAAGGACCTGTAAGTAGCGGTGTACGGTGTACGGCTGTATTCCTACCACCTGGGAAGCTGAGATAGGACAAGTACTATGAGTTCAAGGCCAGTACATGAGACTTTATCTCAAAAACAAACAAACCAGAAATAGAAGAACTAGTAACAGAGACAGCTTCAAATCAAAATAGTCTTCCTGTATAGCACAACTTGTTATATTGGATTTTTTTATTCTTTTGAGATAGGGTTTCACTATATACCCATGTCTGGCATAGAAGTTGCTTATAGACCAGGCTGGCCTCGAACTTGGAGATCTTGCTTCTGCCTCCTAAGCACTGGAAGCAAAGGTATGCACCACTACATTTGGCTATGCTGCTCTTTTAAGCCATGATCACATTATTCCTATTATCTGCTTTGTTTAGGGATTGCTAGGCAGGAAACCCACTCTCACTTTTTTCTCTTGTTTGTTTTTGAAACACGGTCTCATGTATCCCAGGCTGGCCTGGAACCCATTTAATCTTCCTGCCTCTACTTCCTAACTGCTGGATTACAAGTGTGAGCCACCAGGTCTGCCCCCCTAACCCCATTTCAGGATCCAGACTGGTTTTTGAGTGTCCAATTCTGGCCAAGCCTCCCAGGTACTACTATTACAGAGGGACACCACTGCACCTCTGCTCCATACAGTTTAAAGGGTATATTTATACCATGGATAGGACTAAGCGATTCTGTATCGTTTCTATTTGGCAGCAATATTCCATTTATATTATCTATTAAATAGGTTTTTCTGCTTTGTCATACACAGAGCAATCATTTGCCTTAAGTTGAGAAAAAGAATAGTAATTGGTGGGAACAAGGAAATCACTATGGGGTTAAATAAAAAAGTAGTGTTTTAGAATGTGCTTAAAGGTATGTCTTAACTGGATGTGGTGGTTTACGCCTGTAATCCCAGCATTTGAAAGGCTGAGACAGCAAGACTGCTGTTAGTTTGAGGCCAGCTTGAGTTATGTAGTCAATGACAAAAATATCAGGGTGTATTGGTAGATACATGCTTTTAGTCCTTAGTACTCAGGAGGATCTTTGTGAATGGTACATAGTGTGATACTACCAAAAAAAGAAAAGATATATTCTGTACCTTATGCTCAAAATCCCTCCTTTTGTGATATTTATAGCTTAAGGATAGAATAAGTTGTGTATGTTAGACACACATTGTATTGACATAGATGCTAGTCACATATTAGGCGCTCAAATATTTTTGCTACACTGAATAGACCACTGGAATGCCAGAAGAAAAAAAGTATTCTATGAGGACAAGCTTATCTTATGTTTATAGATTTAAACAGTGGTATGCTTTTAATTCTGGACTTTTCCTTGACTGGAAGATCTTCCTAGTATTAAACTTTATCATTACCCCCAATCCTACCCCCTTTTGGAGATGCAGTTTTTTTTTTTTTTTTACTCATTTGAAATAACAGATTTAGAGGAATTATAAAAGATTATAGAGAGATTGTGTGTATATTTGAACTTATAAAACAAACATTACAGCATGAAATATAGAAGCTTTAAATGATCATTGTTTTATTTGTATAAAGGTTGAAACGTTATGAGGGTCTCTTGTAAACAGAATGGAAATGTATTTTTTTTTCAGACAAGTGTCTTGCTATATAACATAGAGCTGGCCTTAAACTAGCTATATAGCCCAGGCTTTCCTGAAATGTATGGTTTTTCTTCTCCAACTTTCTGAGTGGCAATTATCAGCTTGTACCTTGCCCAGCTGGGAATATAATTATTATCTTAAGTGTTATTTATTCTAAAGCCACCATTTGGCGGTGGAAATTACTAAAGCAGCTAAAACAGTTGCTATACATATCACAGATTTTAGTATTTGTCCACAGTAAGTTTTATCTTCTTTTTGCCTGATTCCTGGTTTGGTACATATGGAGGTGCAGTACTGATATTTGGCTTGAAACTAAAGGGACTGATTCATTTAGGACTTCTTGGATATTTACATTGTACCCATAGACTCACAGGTTCCTTCTCCTAAGGAGTCAGTGGCCTAGGAGAGGACAAGAGATTGGTTCAAATGGCAAAAGGATCATTGTTTCTCATACTTCCCTTCCCCAAATTGAGAAATAGTTTTCTTAGCTTGTTTTCAGGCAATCATGGCAGAAGGAAAACAACATGCTTTATGTGTGGGCGTCATGAAGATGTCTGCAGAAGATATGTAAGTTTCACTTTAGGCTCCTTTAACTGAAATGAGTGGTAGTTCAGGAAGCATCTGTTACAGGTGGAATTTGATGTCATTCATACCACATCTTACAACTACCTAAGCTGAGTTGTTCATTTCTTTTTTTTTTCCTAGCACTTAGGAAGCCCTTTGTCTTCAGGGTTACATTCCTAAGCAT